TATAGATATATACACACACATATATATACATGGAGTATTACTCACTCATAAGGAAGAACAAATTTAGTCATTTGCAGAAAAATGAATGGATCTGTAAACCATCATGTGCAGTGAAATAAGTCAGATTCAGACAAATATTACATGTTCTCTCTAAAGTGTGGAAACTAAAAAATATGAAAATAAAATAGAAGGGGGACTATTACTGGACAAAAGAAAGGAGTAAGAGGGAGGGGAAGGGTGGGTAATAAGTGGGATCAATATGGAGGAAAGATATGTACTGAAACTCCCTCAAAAAATGTAAAACTAGGGCCAAGAATATAGCTCAGCAGCAGTGCCTTGCTTGGCAAGCACAAGGTCATGAGATCAATTCCCAGTACAAAAAAAAATGTAAAACTAGGGGGAGGGGCAGGGAAAATTGGGTGGGAGGTGAAAAGGATCAAAGTATGTGCATATACAAATCTACTAAAACCATATCCATCAATCTATATGACAAATAAAAAGTGAAAGAAAGAAAAAAAAAAAGTGAAAGAAAATGAGAAGCAAATCTCACTTTTTGGTAGACTATTTCAGCTAATCAAGCCCACTTGGTATCCTTCAGGGAAAAAAAAAAAAAAAGGATTATGACTCTAACTTCCTAAAGTTCATTTCAGTAATTAACTAAAACCATCCCTAGAACTCCAAAGACATCCCTTCCAAGGGTAATTTGGTAAATGGGACCTTAAATCAAGCATTCATTACGCAGTATATATAATCTAATTCCTCCCACTCACTAGAAATCTACACTCAAAGCTTTAAAGAGAGGTATTATGTTTCTTCTTTGACTTTTATTTCCACATGAATCTGTTCCTGTTTTGCTATCTAGAAAAAAATAGATCAGGTACTTAAATTTTCCTTTAAAGCACAATTCCCTCATAAAACTGCCCTGACCACTGGTTATAAACCTATGAAAATAAATATTTAATATCTACTGACAATATCAGGAATGACTGCTTTGTGAGATAATTTTCTAATGGTAAAGATAGATTTTAGATTACTCACACACACACACACACACACACACACACAGAGCTTATTTAGGAAACAAGTCTGCTGACAGAGCAAGATAATTTAAACATAAAGCACAAAATAGTCTCTAATATTTAAATATAGGTCTCAACACACCAAACTACTCAAATAAGAACTAGGTAAAAGAAACTGCTGCATAGTGGTTCTGCCATATAAAAATCTAATTGTGATCTCAATAGGTAGAGTTGGTAAAGTTATAAAAGCAACAAGTAGCAAAGACGAAAGCTACCTAATCTGATCTAAAACAATCCAGTAACCAAAGACCAACTATAACAGGTTTAAATACTGAAGAAAAATGCTACTCCCAAAGCTGACCCTTGCAGAGCCATTCTCTGCTTTTCAGATTTCTGTATTTAAAGGTCACACTCAACCTTATAGGCCCAATTATAAAATTAACTGTGTATCAGTGGTTTAGAAGTTGTCTGGCATAAGCGCCACACTATTCAGGAATCCCTTTCATAAAATTCCTGAGAGAATTTTCGGGTCCTCCTAAACAGTATTTTGAAAAGATCTCTAAACTTGGAAATACTGAGCTGGGATCCAACCTAAGAGCTGCCATTCACTATAATGCCTTAGGGTAAGCAAACTCATTTTACCATTCCTCTCTCTGTATGCATTGAAAGGGAGAAACACTGACCAAGTGATCTCAAAAATCTCATCCTGTTCTGAAGTTAACATAATTACAATTTCTCGTAAGTCTTCCTACATATTTTCAGAAAGAACTCATGTCATTTTTAGACAGCTCTAATTATGAGAAAAAAACTTTCTAAAATTCCAAACACACACTCTTCAACACTGCAGTTCCACTTCTTGAAATATATTCTAGAAAAACATAACCGTAAGTGCACTGAAAATATTTACAACTATCTCTTGTTATTAAGTTGTTCTTAACAACAAAAAAACAAGAAACATCCCTTAGTAGAGAAATATAGTATGGCATAATGCTACCAGTTACTAAGCAGCAGCTACAAAGAATGAAAAAACTATATGCTCACTTAAAGATCATCAAATCATACTGTTAACAAAAAAAGTTATACCACATATACATTTTGATGCCATTTATGAAAAAACTATTAACAGTTTACATAGCACTTTCCCCAGTGACAAAAATGTTCTATATCTGCACAGTCCAGGACAGCAGCCACTAACCATGTATGACTGTATATTTCTAAAATGTGACTACTAAAACTGAAACACTAAATTTTAAATTTCACTTAATTTTATCTTCAATTTAAATACATGTAGCTAGTACCTAATATACTGGACTGGACAAGTCTAGAAAAACAATCTAAATTGTTAATAGTAGTTACCTCTTCAGTAGAAATCAATGGGAAGGTAGGGGTGAAGCAAGGCAAATTCTGGCTTTACCTTCATTATTTGAATGTTTTCGAATATGTGCTGCTGAAGTGAACACTATTTGGATGTTTTAAAGTAAGAAATGTTTATTATTTATATAAAAAGAAAAGAAAAAACCCTGATGACACTGAACCAAAGTTAGCCTACCAAGCCAATAGAATTTAATTTTTCTCTTCTGTCACACTAGGGAAAAATTAAGTAAGTAAATATATAGTAGCTTTCCTCCAAATCACCCTTTCAACCACATTTCCTCATATTTCTCTCCCAAATTCTTCCTCTGTGCCCTCATTTTTTAACAGTGATAGCAATTTGCTAAATCATAAGAAGCAGCAGTACAATGATGAGGGCTACTGAACTATCATCAGGGGTAGTGAGGTATACTTTCTAAGAATGTTTTCCAGTGTGAGTAAGGAATCTTGCTTCTCTATGCAACAACCCAAATAGTGTGAAAACACTGTCATATTTCCCTAAGTCTTGTCTTCTCCAGCCAAACATCTCCAGTCCTGACCAAAAGCAGTCAGAAGTCTTTCACCATCATATGGCTCCAGTGTGGCTCAATTCATAGTAACTCACTCAGATACTAACATTCCTCAGAACCTTCTCTTAGTGATGTGGCACAGACACCCCATCTCATCCAGATTCTGCACACCTGATTTATTCATTCATTCACCAGTATTTACTGAATGAGTACTAAATGCCAATGAATAAGGTATCAATGCACAGCCCTTCTGCCCCCCAAAAGTTCTACTTGGGTCGGCAGACATTCGACAAGTCTCCATCTCAACTGATTCCAGACAATGCAATTCATGTCACACTGAGTCCCACTAGCATCATGAGATTTAGAGAATGTTCATGTAAGTTTCTAATGTATATGTGGAATAGAAATCTACATAACATGCCCCAAAATCCAACATAACAGTTCAAGTCTGTGAGCAATTCCTAATGTTCTATAGACCAGTTTTGCAACAATCCACAATAAAGGTGCAAAAAAGAACAACGCAGTAAAGTAGAATAAATTTATTATGAGACTATGTCCCTTCTCCCTTTTTTGATATTAAATTGTTCTCTACTTAGGTAGTGGCTTAGATTCAAACAAGTACCTGGTCTTTGTTTCGTTTGTTTTTAAACAGTCTTACCTCCCGTGTAAGACAGTAATGAAAACTCTATAGCAAATATCTGTTGACATTGTATTTGTCCATGCCATCCAGTGATTTAAAGAACTTAAGAAAGTTCCCTCTGCCCTAAAATGCACTTTACACACAGAGTAAGCAATTACTCTTTTCACAGAGGCACCTCCATAACGGTTAAATCATTACATCTGGACACTGGAAATATAAGCCTTTAACTCTTATTATACACTCTTTAACTGTACTATTCACAAGAACATTAATATCACAGTAAAATAGATTCAAACACACAATTATGAATGTGTAAAAAGTCTAATCAAAAAACGTTTATTGGCGTCAAACACAGCTGTAATTCATGGCAGTTACTTTAATACCAATAAAAGTAACTAAATTCTTAAGTTTATTTCTGGCTAATCTTAAATATCATTATATATTTATTAAACTCCAGAAAGAGAGAAATGAGGTGAAGAAAAAACAAACAAAAATACTACTAACTCTACCACATACCTAAAACTACCACTAGCACTGACAAAACTGCAAAATTAGTGATCTAAAGTGACACAAAGTTCCTACAGGACAATCTTCTTCACTCACCCCTCTCCTCAAAAAGTACTGCTGTCCTGGTAATCTGCATGTTTTTATGTAAGGTAAAAATGTTCGAAGGTAATACAACATAACATAAACAAATGGGGTTTTTTAAGTTAAGCTAGTTTAAATGCCCTAGTTCGAAACTCAGACCTGCCCTTTACCTGCGTGACCTTGTACAAACCATTCAACAGCTTTAACAACCACTAGACTGTTAATTCCACAGGAGCAAAAACCATTTCTGCTTGACTCACTACTGTAAGTTTTCACTCCAAAACACTGAAAAATCAGTTTCTTCCTCGTATAAAATAAGGATGAACACTATCTGTCTCGTGGCACGAACTGGAGGAACAAACGAGATAGGTATATAGTGCTCTAGCATGGTGACTGATCGTGGTAAACACTCAACGAAAGTTAATTGCTAACGAAGAGCAGCTATCCAACCTAAAAGTCCTGTTCAAAGACTTTCAAACACTAATATGTAAAGCTTTTACCCACGAAATAAACAATGCACAAGTTACTCCTCCCCACAAAAATAAGTGTGTGCATGTGTATTTCACACGTGTAGGAATATAAAACCTCCAAGTAGTTTATAAGCCAGTGGGGTGGGAACCTAATGACAGATGAAGCCTGAACGGAGGGTAACAGACCTGCGCTATGAAAAGGCTTTAGGAAAAAACTCTGCGTTTGTCTGCTGCTAACCGGGCCACGACCACGCGCACTCCGGGCTCGGCGGGCCCCCTCCGGACGTCCCCCGGCCGTCAGGGACCCCTCCCCCGCGCAGAAGGGGAGGAGAGAGCGAGCCTCGGAGGCGGGGGCCTGGGTTAGGGAAAAGGGAGCCTCCCCCCGCCTCTCGCCCAGACCCACCTTAAGCAGGATGGACGGCGGCAGCTGGTTGATGTCTGGGGTTTCGGGGGGCGGCTCCCTGTGACAGTCGCAGGGGTTTTCGGGGGGCTCCTGACCGTTCGCGTCGCCGCTTTCGTGCTGCTGCTGAGCGGAAGAGGGGGCGGTGCCCCCGGCTCGGACCGCGGCCCCGCCGGCCTCGCCGGGGGCGCTTTCGGAAGCCGGGGACGAAGGCGGGGAGCAGGGCGGCGCCGGCGTGAGCTCCTCCGGGTCCTCGCAGCAGCCGGCGTCGG